TAATTAAAAAATATTTTTCTCCCATCTATTTCTTTCCAGCTAAATATAATGTTAAGGATGCATGAAAATGTCTGTTGTTTTCCAATAATCTAAACAAATCAAACAAGGACAAAAAGAACGATCCATAAAACTGTATTTCCCAGACACACTGCACTCAAATTCTGAAATTAACCATGAGCATTATCACAAAGTGTATCAAAAACTTATTAAAAAAAAAATCTATAATAATTAATAGAAGAAAAGGAAGAACAGTTGGCTCCTATTAACTCTCAAGTACGACAAAAAAAAAAATAACACCCTCAAAGCTTAACTATTAACTGATAGTAAGTCCCAAAATTTCTAGATCCATCGTACAGCTCCGATGTAGGATATCATGCAACTGAAAAACAGGAAAAAAAACATGAAGTTAAATGAGAACACCAAGTAGACATCAACATTACAGTTAAAAAAATGGAAATGCAAAGAATAATCTATATTCTATTGAATTTATTCTGAATACACTAAGTTGTGTGTTTCTTCGGATTTTGAAGGAATAACAATGATATACCTCATTCACCAAAAGCCATAGGACAGAACGTACATGCTGCTGGAATGTATAAACATAGGCTGAGGGCATCTTAAAATGGTTCTTTTATAAGTAGGAACATACTACACCTAGGACATAGATTTCAACTATAATTGGTGCTTTCAGCTCCATCACATAAAATTAGCTCTATGAAATTCAAACACAAAAAGAAAATTTAAGTACCGATGTCTAGGGGCCAAATGGCCTGGTTACAATATTTTACATTCAAAAATGACAATTCCTTTGTCATGCTGCTGAGGCAAGCTCTATCAACCAAAACCAAAGATATTGTTGCATGTATGTCATAAGATTCATACTTTACGTTCAATAACCATAATGCACATAGTCCACTTAAGATTTGACATGTTCTGATGTTCTAATCTTTAACTCAGCACACAACAAGTTCTATCTATGATACCAAAAATAGAAAATTGTGATCTACACTGAAATCATGCAAGTAACCAATTAACTGCACAAAGGGTAGTGTTCAAATTACCTCAAATGTTGCTGGGATACATAAACACTCTCACTCTAGCTCCCTGTTCAATTAAAAACCAATAAAGAACCAACATTCAAAAACCAAAATGATATTAAAAAGAAAAAAAAAAGGGTATAAATTGTATAAGAAAGCCATTATTTACCATGGATTTAGGGGGGAGGTTGGACTTGAATTTGGCGCGTACGACACCACTGTTACCATGAGGCCTGGTTACCTTGCCCCAAATGCAGCGATAATGGGATCCATTCTTCTTCACCTTGGCCTTGTAGATATACGCCATCCTCTTGCCGCAGTACCATGCCACCTCTTCTTTAGTGTTCACTCCCTCGATCTGGATCAGCGACGTGTTTGGGTACTGATTCGACTTCGACCTAAAAAGGAAAAAGAACACCAACCCAGATAACCATTAGCACTCCTCGACCTGGTCACAAACCCGAACAACGGTAGAGAAAGCGACGGCTTTCTTTTACCTCTTGTACCCAAGAATAGTTCCACGAACATAGAGCCTGTGAACGGAAAACAGAGATCAAAATTAACCTGAAACGCTCGTATTTAGCTAAAGTAAATGATTCAGAGATTGAAGATTTTCATAGAATAAAACCTGACACGCTCTCCCTGGCGACCCTTCACCATTTCCGATTGCAAGTCTTGGCGCCGCCGGTCTGCAGAAGACGAAAACCCTAGTAGCTACCTGTGAAGGAGTAGAATATAAAGCATATATATCTATATACCATAAACAAGGTTTCTTTCAAGTTTTGGGCTTGGTTTAGCCCACAATTTCTGCCTTTTGAGCCATGCTTAAAAATAAAACCTTTTTTGGGCCGGCTTTCTACAGTCCTTGTCTACGGACCCATAATGCTGCTCCGATGATAATGTCTAAGTGAGCCATATGGGAAGAAAACAGTTGTGGTTATTACCGACAATTTTTTGGTATGAAAATGTTGGCATTAAACTTACCCCCATGAAATATCATTATACGATTTTTTTTTTCAATATTTATATATAATATTATATATATTTATTTAATATATATAATTTTTTTCTTAACATGAAGCATTATGGGGGAAAGAGAAAATTTTTAAATAG